GCAGCGGGAGCAGCTCACACCACCCATTTAAATAGACAGGAGAGGGAGGGGCTGCGGGGAGGAGGAACACCTGAACACACCTGGAGAACAAACATGTCAGCTCAGTGATCCAGCTGCCTGGACACACCTGAGCAGAACCAGCAGATGGAGATGATTGGATTTACAGTCAGAACCAATAAACACTGAGAGCTGCATCTTGGTTCTGTGGTACCAGACCGGTTCTGATTCTTCTGGTTTCAATGTGAAAAAATTGTTTTTAATTAAAAATTGGAGCTGGTGTGAGTTGCTAATATTAATATTCGGTGATATTTGTTTATTTTCAGCCTTTTAATGAGTCAAAAAATGGCAGCATGTTCAGACACTCAGGTTGGACTTAAAAAAAAAAACTTCAAGGCTTTTAGAGGCGATTCCCAGATTGTCTGGTTAGTTGGTTGGTTGGCTGCCATAAATGCCAAAAATACGTTTTATTTCTGAACTTCACCATTTTATACAAATGAAAGCCATTCTGCATTTTCAGGTCATTCTGGGAATTCTTATTTTCCAGTTGGAAGTCCAGCATAACAAGGTGACAATTAGCTTGACTGGATTCAAATAAAGAAAAATGTGGATTTAAGTTAAACCACTGAACAGCTTCGTCTTTCTCATGTTACATCTCAGCATCATCTGCATGTAGGATCATTACATCATTGCAGAGCCCAGCAGCCTCAGGGGTCCCAGTATGCATCCTTGTGGTACTCCAGAGGACAGGCCTTGAAGACGTTATATGACTTCACTGTAACTAAAATAAGTTATAAATCATTACTCCCAGTGATCAAAACATCTTTATCCCAGGATGATCAGCTGATTGGTTGGTTTTTCAGGTGCTATTACATAATAATTGAACTTTATTGACAACACCTTGGAGAACTTTACCTCAGCATATTAACCCATTCCTTCAGGGAGCAGTGGGCTGCCATCATGGGGCATCCGGGGGGGCAATCGGGGGTTAAGGGTCTTGCTCAGGGAGCCAGAGTGGCACTCTATGGGAGTGGGTTTTAAACATACAACCTCAGGATTCCAAGCTGTATGCCCTAACCACTAGGCCGTCACTCCCCTAGGAGCAGACATAATTAAAACACTGCTTCATAACAGCTGCCATTAGGACTACTACAGAATGGCTACAGAATACAACACTGGTGCATTATGGGTAATTATGGAGGTAAGAGTAAACTCCCACCTCCTGTGATCAAACAGGTACATTAAACACTGGAGGGTCTGAGCATGAGAGGCACCTACTGTACAGACGTTATTTTCACAATACAGATCAAAAGTTGGCCAATTGGGCCAGAGTTTTTTTTTTTCTTTGGTTAATTATTCTATTAAAAAAAAATAAATTCAAGGTTTTACTTTCTGACCTCTAACTGCAATTTGTAAAGAAGTTTAAATCCTGTTAAGCACATTCTGTACTCTGGACCCACACTGATAAACTATGTAATAAATACAGGCTTGCTGGTCAGACTCCTGCCCCCTGCTGGCTACGGGATATAATGCATGTATAAATACTGCCCTCTGGTGGCAGTTACACAGCCAGCAGCTTTAAATCTGCACCTCTTTGCAAACATGAGATCCAGAGCGTGTCTATACGTGTCTGCCAGAGGCCCCGGGGCCTTGAAACCTGCTGTCTCTGCTCGCTTGTTTACGTCACATGATTGAGGGGCTGCAGCGTGAAACCCTCAGGAACGATAAATTCAATCACTGGGATGAAGCTGCAGAAAGAGAAACAGGCTGGGTGAAAAAAAAACAGGTGAGCAGCAGCTGATCTGAACTCTGTTCAACAGAGAAATCCCCCATGTGAGCAAAAGCTCCGCCCCCTCACCTGTCAGACACTTGTACAGGTGTGTGATGTCTGAACTGGGAAACCGTTCGCAGCAGCTGTGATGTCAGATCTTTAAATCCCAGTAATCCCAGTTCAAACATGGAGGGGGATCCAGTCTAGCAGGCAGAAACATGACTGAACTCTGAGACCTTCAGTCATTTCATAAACTGATGGAAGATTATTAGATTCTGCTAATTACAAAACTGAAGAGTCCAGATTAAAACCAGAATCATAATCTTAAAAAATCCCTCTAATATTCCACCATGGAGAGAAAATTATTTATTAGATAAATAAAGTTGCGATCCTGAAACAGACACGTCGCTTTATTAAGTTCAACATGCTTTAAAACCAGTTTGACAGCAGAACCAGAGTGAAGCTGTTAGATGAATCCAGATTAATCAGGAGGCAGAGAAACGAGGATTTTAATCTGGTTTTAATGAACGACTGATGAGAAGAAAAACCCAGAGAAACTATTTCAGCCCTGATCCTGCAGTTCAACAGGCCGACCTCCAGGGGGAGATAAAGTGCAAACAGTCCGGTGAGAGACGTCGATCTGAAGACACCAAGACAGAGAGGTTAGGGGGGCAAACAGGAAGTGACATCATGACAGGGACGTTGGTCCTCCTGGTAACAACTGATCAACACCAGATGCATCAGTTCGTTGATCTGTCCGACAGCAGCTATGTGTGTGTGTGGTTTCCATGGTAATGCGTTGGTGCTCCACAGTCTGTATCCCAGCTGCACAAACAGAGCGGCGTGATGACATCATCACTACAGGCCCAGCGACTTGCGGACGATCTTCTGGGCCAGTTTGTAGAACTGCTCCCTGTCCTCTCGCCACATCTTGGAGGCGTCGACGTTGGCGCCGCTCTCGTCGTTGGGCTCTGGGAGGAAGAGGAGCAGAGAGGAAGGTTAATCCCGTCCCGTGACGTTTGGGGCGTTCCGGACACCAGAGGCGCTCCTCTAACCTGCCAGCATGCTGACAACAGACAGCAGGATCTTCTCCACGCTCTGGACCGGGCTCCACCTCTCGGCGCTGCTCTCGTAGCCCATGGGGTCGTCACCCGGAGCGTGGAGGATGGAGATGCAGACCCGACCGTCTGGGTAGACTGGATGGAGAGGAAGGAGCAGAATTTGGGTTCAGAAACACGATCAAAGACTTTTATTTTGAAAGGGACTGATTTCAGAGCTTGGTTCTGCTTTAATAATAACAATAATAACTGAACGTTATTCTGGTTTCTGTGAGGCTCAAAAAGGATCAACTACTTTATCCTTTTCTGTCCAACTGAACTCCCATCATGGGGAAAGTTTTTTATTTTAAAGTTTCATTCATTGTTTTGGCTCCAGTCTGTTCTGCTTGCTATAAACATGATGTGCGACTCCAGACTGATGCTTTCTCTGTGTGATTAACAGATTTTATTCAGTGTTTTCCTCCAAAGCCGATGTGTTTTACTTTGTAAGTGCGTCTCTCTTCCTGTCATACTCCTGAAATTGCTGCTGAATTGCTGCGTAGTCCGAATAAAATAGACCCGGGATCCATCTCAGTCGGAGCTACGCTGCCCCCTGTAGGATATCGGCGTGATCCTGCCCTCTGACTTTCAGTGAGCGCTAAACGTCACGACCTCTACGGCACGATTTTCTGTTGGATCAGATGTAAAATCAGATTTGGTGTGTTCTGGCCTTTAAACTCCTCTGAGGTCGGTTCTAAGCTGGTTTTTGCTCTATCATCATGTTTTATATCAGGTGAGGTCAGAACTCTGATCGAACCATCTGGAACATCTAACCCGGTGTTCTGTCAGAGAAGCATACCCGGTCAGACCAGCAGACCCATAGTCAATACCAATTTATCCCTTCAGTTTTGTTCAAAAAAAAAACTTTAACCTACTTTAGTCTGTAAATCTCTTTAGTCATGTACAAAAAAAATATTAAAATTACTTACTTTTTGATGTTTTTTGAAGCGTATGGCGATCTGACCTTAAAGAGGAATTTAGTTTTTTGGGCCCTTGATTTTACGTTATTCCATCATGTTCTACTCACCCATATGAGTTTTGTGTCATTTGGAGCCGTTCTGAAGATATTCCGTTAGGTTATATCCAGTAACGTCTTCCTATGGGCAACGACTTGAAGGCACAAACTAAACTGTTCATCATTTATTCTTTATGGTACGCAGCTTTCAGAACATGGAGGCCAATCACTGTCCCCCAGACATCCGCCGTTATATTTTTTTAAAACAAAGCGGAGTGTGTATGACGTTATCCGCGCGCCGTACTGGAGTAGTGCCAGGCAGCTCGGGCCACAGGCGGCGACGCTCTACCCCTTCTATTCATTCTAGCTCATCTGAATCGTTCATCTGGAGAGCGAGATCATCTGTGGTAGCAGCACTAGACATCTTCCAGGCATGTGAGGAAAACTAGCAGTAGTTCAGCCGACAGGAAGAATGAATGGTAGCTGCCGCGTGCGGATGACATCATACACACGCTGCTTTGTTTAAAAAAAAATATATAAATATAAAAAATATATGGGGGCGGATGTCTGGGGGCCAGTGATTGGCCTCCATGTTCTGAAAGCTGCGTACCATAAAGAATAAATGATGAACAGTTTAGTTTGTGCCTTCAAGTCGTTGCCCATAGGAAGACGTTACTGGATATAAGCTAACGGAATATCTTCAGAACGGCTCCAAATGACACTAAACTCATATGGGTGAGTAGAACATGATGGAATAACCTAAAATCAAGGGCCCAATGTAGAAAAACCGGCGTTTCCCTTTAAATTGCTGTTTTTCTAGATCAGTGTTTTTCAACCCTGGTCCTCAAGGCACACTGCTCTGCATGTTTTAGGTGTTTCTGAGCTTCAGCACACCTTATTCAGATGATTGCAGTTCATCAAAGCCTGATAATCTGCTATCAATTGATAACAGGTGTGTGAAAGCTGGGAAACATCTAAAACATGCAGGGCAGTGTGCCTTGAGGACCAGGGTTGAAAAACACTGTTCTAGATGACTAAAGAGAAACACGCCTGTCAAGTTAAGTTAAAAGTCTATTTTTCGTACTAAACTAAAGGGATAAACACAAATCCAACGTCTTGCTGATGCATATTGACTATAAATATCTGACTATATTGATCTAATGGGGTATTCTGGTTCTGACCCAGTAGGAGTAGAACTCATCTATTTCTGCAGAGATCCAGTTCAGACTCACATCTTTATATTGATTGGATGAATCATTCCACCCATCAGAACCAATCCCTCCCTGATTAAGCAGACCCAGAACGGTTCTGGTACCATCACTCTACTCAGTCTGCGGAAGGTTTCTGTCCCTGC